ATAACAGATTTCCCTTCTGAACTGAACTTTCTTACAGTATCTAGAGAAAGAACTCTTCACAAAATATCTACCCTATTTCTGTAGATCATCTGAGTTGCAGATCTTAGCTTGACCAAATCAAGCCTTTCTTTCCTCCCTGTGTCTTTGCCACACACCCAAACTTAAATTTAGTTTTTCACTGGAAAATTTTATATTTGTTTGAAACTACTCAAATACTGGTAGTATAAGAGGTCTATGATAAATGAGAAAACATATAAAATTTCAAATCCAGGGATGGAAGAACATTTATTAACATACAATAAAATTTTTGAGGGTAAGGGACCATTCTGTGCTTCAGGGAAATACACGGGCTTGAAGTTATTGTCCTCTAAGATGTGCTCCTACATCATATTGACTATCACAGCTTTATAATTTTTATTTCTTTCCCCCTGGAGCTTCCAACTAATATGACAACTGTTTCCCGACTGCTTACCTGTCTGGACTTCCAGCCAATATCTTTTCACCTTCTCCATCAGCCAGTATGTATATACATTAAATACATTATTTGCAAGAGCTCTCAAAACTCAACAGTTTGAAAACAATCCAGTTATAAAATAGACAAACTACAGGAACAGGAATTTCATCAATGAAGATATACAGATGCCACATAAGCACAAGAAAATATATTCAAAATCATTAGTCATTAGAAAAATGAAAATTAAAACTACAATGAGATATCATTACATACCTATCAGAATTGTACACACCTATCAGTGTAACATAAAGGACTGAGATGCTATCATCTTCTTCACATGCTGTTGGTTAGAAGCAAGTCAAAAGTTCTGTCCACAGTCAAGGTCTGAACATCAGGAGGCAGGACTCATGGGAGCCACATTAGAGTGTGTTCATCATGTTTGTCATATAAAATGTAAGGCACATTTCAAAGTTTCAAAGAGAAAGCAAAAATCACACATATAGCTAGGTATACTACATAGAGATAATCACAATTAATGATGCTGAATGGGTTTCTTCACAGTCATCTATGTGTTCTTCTTGAAACCTTTGCCCCAACAAAAGGACATTATATATATAATTATTTGAATATTCTGTCCTTTTATATAAATGCATGTATAAAAGAGGTATGGTACTGTAATAATATTTTACAATTTGTCTTACTTTTTAAGAACACATTCTCCATAAATAATCTTCTAAATTATAAATTTTAGAAACTGTAAAATATCTTCTCCTAAATATTATATTTATTTCCATTTCCCTATTATTTAATAATTTGTTTCCTATTGCCATGTTATAAATATCGCTATGATAAATCTTAGTCCTATAAAAACAACCTCCTAAATATATCTTAAATATGTAGCTTCAAGAACTAAGTGGGAGGATTTCACTTCCCAATTTCAAGTCTAAACCTTTATTACTATTATCACTGTTTTAGTCCTATTCTTGACCGCTTTCCACCCTCCTGTTGCTGTATTTGACTGATACTTGACCAGTTCATCAGCACCTTTCAAGATACTTGAAGTGTCCACTCCTCCAGGAAGCCAGATTGATTGAAATGACTTTTCTAAATTACACCTCATTGGCACTTCTCCTTTGTACTGTTACTACATTTTTTTTATTATGTTCAACTTGCCAACATATAGTACATCATTAGTTTTTGATGTAGTGTTCAGTGACTCATTAGTTGCATAGCACACCCAGTGCTCATCACATCACATGCCCTACTTAATGCCCATCACCAGTTACCCCTCCCCCCACCCACCTCCCTTCCAAAACCCTCAGTTTGTTTCCCAGAGTCAAGAGTCTCTCGTGGTTTGTCTCCCTCTCTGATTTCTTCCCATTCAGTTTTCCTTCCCTTCCCCTATGATCCTCTGTGCTATTTCTAATATTCCACATATGAGTGAAACCAAATGATAATTGCCTTTCTCTCCATTGACTTATTTCACTTAGCATAATACCCTTCAGTTCCATCCATGTTGATGTAAATGGTAGGTAATCATCCTTTCCGATGGCTGAGTAATATTCCATTGTATATAAGAATCACATCTTCTTTATCCATTCATCTGGTGAAAGACATCTCGGCTCCTTCCACAGTTTGGCTATTGTGAGCATTGCTGCTGTGAACATTGGGGTGCATGTGCCCCTTTTCACTACATCTGTATCTTTGGAGTAAATACCTAGTAGTGCAATTGCTGGGTCATAGGGTAGCTCTATGTCTTGAGGAAACTCCATACTGTTTTCCAGAGTGGCTGTACCAGCTTGCATTCCCACCAACAGTGTTAAGAGGGTTCCCCTTTCAATGATGTGGGGGGTGCCTGAGTGGAGCAATGTGTTAAGCATCTGCCTTCGGCAGTCTGTTAAGCATCTGATCTCAGGGTCCTGGGATAGAGCCCTGTGTCGTTGGTCTTCCTGCTCAGAGGGGAGTCTGCTTCTCCCTCTCCATCTGCCCCTCCCCTCGGCTCACACACACTCTCTCTCAAATAAATAAAAATATTTTTTAAAATTAATTAAATAAATGATGTGTTTACATGTCCTCTCTTTTCTAAGATTGTAATGCCCTTATCAGGCAGAGAACACATCTCTTTCTTCTTCGCCTTTTTAGCACCTAGCACAGTGCATAGAACACATAATAACTTCTCATTAAGGAAGTTGAACTGAGCTACTGAACTAAACTAAGATAGTGTGAGTATGCTATGGAGGTATAGTTTTGCTAAGCCATCTACATTTTACAATGTGTTTTTCCATCTTTGAGCACCCAAACAAAGCCTAAAATTAAATGAAGGAGACTCAGACACTCTTATGCAACATGAAGGCCCTTTGTATCACATGCAACTCTTAAAAAAGGAAGCAAATATAAAAAAAGATCAAGAAATGAGCAACAACTCTTCCTTCACCAGAAAAAGTGTCTACCCAAAGATGAAGACAAATATTATTGCACATGCTTACACACCCTGAAACTTAAAAATGTATATTAGAGTCATTCCTCTTGCATTCACAATATGATTGAGATGATTAAGAAGGCTCACACAAAATCCAAACCATTATAAAAATGGGAAGAAGTAAAATAGCATTTAATTATATAACAGGTAAAAGAGGTGTTTTAGGACAATTGTATCATTTCAATACCCATGCAATCCCTGTGATAAGTATTAGTAAATTAATTTTATATCTGAAATAGCCTGCCCAGGATTTCACAGTGGTAAGTGGCAGGGCCACACTTCAAAGATAAAAAGGTTCAATTTCAAAGCCACCATCTTCCCATTTCTTTGCACTATGAAAGCACCAGGAAATACCATAGTTTTCAGTTTATTACCAGAAATGTTCCCTAGAATATCAGGGGCAAGAGTAGTAGTGACTAACAGCAGGCTTGAAGTTGAGGCTGCATGTCTATGAGAAACCATGATTATTTGCATTGTGCTGTGTTTGATTTAGTTCCCTGACAAATGTCATGCCAAAGCCTTGACACAACAGAGATTTGTGCCTGGAGCCAGCCATTCGGTGTCTGGCAGAGCACATTGGCTGGCATATTTTACATGGATATTCTAAAGTCACACCAGTCTCTGAATGGAGACTGAAAGTGACTAAGATAAAAAAATATATATATGAAAAATAGAGTCGAGTCATACTCCAAAAAGAAAAAAAAAACCAGAAGTATGTTTCAATTTTTAAATCTCAATTATTCATATATGTATATAGATATGCTTATAGAAGTTTATTTTTTCATAGGGAAGTAACATGGCAGAACACATGCAGTATGTTTTGAGCCAAATTTAAAATATAAATATTAGTATATAAGTGTATTTCCCCAAGTATTATGTTTGCATAAAGTAGGTTATCAATTATTATTAATGATATCATATATATATATATATATATATATATATATCCACATTTTTATAACCACAAACCAACTTGCAACTTTCCTTTAAATATGAGATTACTTTATCACACAGAAACCTAAAAGAACTGCCTCACCCATTTCATTGTATGGTGGAAAGACTCAAAATAGGGTAAATGATCTAGAGAAGTTTTAGAGAAACTATAAGCAAACATTTATAAAACCATTAATTATTTAAATACCTCCCAAGAAATGACAAACCTACTTTCAGTACCTTACCCCAGAACTCACATTCCTTATGTGCTACTTTAAGCAATTTTTTCTTGCTACCTCCTCCATAGAGAAGGACTGATTTTCATAGCTTCTGTATGTGGGATCCATTTCCCATTCCTTCTTTCATCTTTCTCCCTTACAGTACCTAAGAATCTTAGTTCCTTTTGTCTTTACTCCTGGAGTTCCCACTATATACTTTTTATTCAATGTATACCTTTTCTTTTCAGCTCACTCTCAGGATTCAAGGTTATTAAGATTCATGATATTTATAATGTTCTTTGTCCACATTTTATTTTAAATAGCATTCCATTTTGAAATCAAAGGCATCCTGTAATGGCCATGTGCTCTCACCCTTATCTTTCCCGTAGTACATTTATATACTTCTTACTGAGCTCTATTTATTTTGCTGTCTGCATCTTCTTCTGAAATTGTCTTGCAATTTTAAACTAATTTCACTATCTGGTCCCCCAAAACTTAGATATTCCTAGGTAGTTCCTAACTGATAGTTAACTTGCTTATATCCTACCTTTAATAATTTAATCACCAGAGTCATTAAAGACTGTGTTAAACAAGTTCCATCAAACATAGAATAGTTCCATTGTTTTACTGTCAAGGGCATTAGTGATAACAGTTCTTTGAATATACATTGTATGAATTAAGGGTTTCTGTGATCAGGAAATGATATGTAGTTAGTGATCAGATTTTTGATTCTAAAGTTTTCTCACTAGTATCATGTTTTATCAGATGAAAGAGTGTTTATCATATACATGAACATGTACTATTCTTCTATTTATATAAGCACATTATACTAATATAATTTTTATAATTTTTTTACTATTATAACATTTGTATTTTATACTTTATGGAGAATATTGGAAATATATTTTAAATATACCTTTGTCCAAGGCACATCCTGCTGTGGTCTCAGGACAGGAACCTATTGTAAAAAATATATATATATTCTCATTAATTGTATATACTTAGTATAAAAAACAGATTGAGAAATACCAATACATACAATTAAAAAAAAAACATGGCTTCAAAACCTCAACCATTGCTCAATATTAGTATCTGCCCATTAACTTCAAAAAATATTCTGTTTTTATCTTTTTTTTTTGCTTTAGTTCATTAAGAAAGAAAGGACAAGGTATAAATATTCTGATATACTTCTCAATCTGAATCTCTAAAGGAACTCTATTTTTTTATATCTTAAAATAAACAGTTTTTTTCCTAGAAAGAAACATAAAGGCAGATTAAGTTCCTGATACACAAAAGCCAATTTCAGGCAAAAACTCAGACAACACTTTTCAAAAATTCTAAGTGAATTATTATATTCCGAATAAGAAGATGAGGAAGCAGGTTAAACAGGTTTTATGATAACAAAAGTCCTATAATATTTGTTCATCAAAAAATGGCAATGGAAATCAGTTAAAGTTAAGAGAATCATTTCACAGTAATAATGTTTCAAATTTTCAGGCAGTGAAACTAGAATGTATGTGCAGGTAATAGATTTAAATATGTTCAAATGAACTTGAGCACTTTAAAAATCATAGGAGGAAAGAGAATCACGTATTGCTGCTTTAAGACCAATATTTCCATCATTTCCTTCTATTTTATTATTCTATTAGACACAGTGTCACATTTCCAAATATGTGGACACCCAACCCACATAAAAGCACAGATCTAAATCTAAGAACTGTCATTGCAAATGTGACAGTGTTGTTTACAAGGACTTCAATTAAATGTAAAATCAAAGAACCACTCATTTTGTTCATATTTTTTTGGCATTCTATCTGTTTGAAATTTCCAGATATGGGAGAAGAAATCAGAAGAAATAAACTTCCTTTGTGATTTCTACCAGTATGCTGGAATAAAAGTTTTACCATGAATAAATTTAAAAAATAAAAATAAATAGTTAGCATCCATAAATTAAAAATAAAAGTATGTTTTTCTTTCATATTTAAAGTTCACAGACCCAAAGAATTTTAGCTCTAGAAGGCACCTGAGTGGATAACCAAGTAAACCGAATCCAAACTGTCAATTATAATTAAGGGATTCTCACTGTTATGTCTCAGGAGTCCTTGGATAATGTAAGGGAACCAAGTCTTTGGGTCACCCAAAATGTTCCCTTAGCCATTATTCAAGCACAGTAGACATGTGCACAAATTCAGGCACACATGCATGACGCATGCATGTGCAGACACACACACACACACACACGAATTTAAGCCATCTTCTTTATTCTACGGCCAAACCTAGAATCTCACATTTCTTGTATTTGAAACTTGGCCCCTGGATTATTAGCTACACTGGACTTTAGACAATTTACATAACCCTCTCTGAGCCTCAATTTTTTTACTTATATTGAAGTTATTGTAAAGATTAAATGATTTAATACAAATAAATTGCTTAGAAACCCTTCCTAGGACATAGTAAGTAGCCAATAAATGTTCACTATTAAAAGCTACAAAACATTTGAAAGTAAAAATTCTTCAAAAAATATTAAATAATTTCGATATTTAAAAATATGTCAATTGATATTTCTAGTCTACTAATCATCTCTCAAGTGTGAAAATCTCCATTTGTATTTCTTACATTTTAATATAATTATATTTGCACAATTATAATTACAAGAAATAACTGAGAAACATAACTATGGATGGCAAACTTTATTCATGAAAGAATCATAAAAGAAACCAAAGTAAAAAGTGGCATTTTTTTTCAATGAGGCATTTTAAATGGTTAATTAACAGTTGTAATTCTATGTTCTGTGTTTTACTTGTGATCTGGCATGACTAGAGGAACAGAAAATCTTCTTAAATGACAGGGAGGTACTTAAAGTTTTCCAGAGGTCAAGCAAGAATCCAATTATCTAATATCCATGGGAGCAGAAGTATCTGGTGAAGAGAAAGTACAAAACTGGAAATACAGCATTACTGCCAGGCTATAATAAATTTATCACAGAGAAACATGGTTTCAACAAAGTCAGAGTTGAACTCACAAAGCAATCTTCAGGTACTAAAATCTCCATGTCTCTGGCCATTAGGAATAGTCAGGGCTTTAAAAAATTGGATTAAATTTGTTTGCTATGATTTTTCTGATCAGAACATGCATTCCTATATATAGGAATAAGTTGCAGGAGGAAAGGGAGGGAACACAATTTTTAAAGATTGGTTTAACTGAGTATAGGGTAGAATTAGAAGGGGGAATAAAAGACTTGATAAGAGAAAATGAACATAATAGCAAAGTGAAGAAGAAAAGAACAACCATAGCTTTAATAAGGGAAGTACTAAATGCCAAACCTGAAAGGTAGACAGTATATTTGGTAAAGTATGTTTTGATCAGAAGCTATTTTTATAGATCTGGTGGTGGAACTGAAGGAGAGGTGGTGACCTATCCACATCATTTTACTGTTTTAGCTCGGGGTTTTTCTACCTAGGCTAATTTCCTCCTCCCATCCCTATGACCAGGGACATATAACAACTTCTGGAGCCATTTTTGGTTGTCACAGCTGGGGGTGGGATGCTACTAGATGCTACTAGCATCTAGTGGGGAGAGGCCATGGATGCTGCTAAACATCCAATAACTCACAGGACAGCCCCCCACAAAAAGGATTCATGCAGCCCAAAATGTCAATCATGTGCAGAGTTGAGAAACACTGTCTTAGCAGAGGTGGAACCTCCTCCTACCTCAGTGCTTCACGAACTCTCCCAAATCATTAGATCACATCATTTACATAGAGTGAATCTTCCAGGGAAAAGAGAACTAACCTTGATCAAGGTTCTTGACAGAGGATATTTTAGTTGCAATAATCTATTTAAACATTGCTGATCTAGCACTTAATATAGCCATGTATAAAATCCAGATTGATCTGATACTTGCCATCACCAATCTGAAACCTATACATAATGGTATTCCCACTCCTCTTTTCAAATGTTTTTCAACATCAGAAAATATCTTAGTGAATTATTTGATTTCATTCTTTTACAAAAACACTAATTTCAAACATTCAGACATTATTCCATTTGAAATAATTTAGTTTAAGAGAGAGGTTATTTACCTTATCATTATTAGAAATTTGATAATTCATCATAATTCTATAGTTAACCAAAATCATTCTTAAGGAAAATAAGGTGGTTTAATATTTTTATTTTATTTTTACTTTACACCAAAATAACAACTACTTTAAGCAAAACTAAGATATATTTTTATTGATTATTAACATAAAGATGCAATATACACGGCAAAATGAATTAAAACTAATGTTTGAAACAGGATAATTATTACTATTTAATTTAAACTAATATGTAACTTCACCCTGTTCTCATTTTGCTCATTTGAGAATACTTCATTACTATCATGTTGCTCAGAGTATTTAACCTGTAAAGTATAATGTTTCTTTGATATTAATTTAGTGGGATTCACAACCTAAAAAACATGTCATGTTTCAGTTTCATGAAAAGGCCAAAAATCTGGGGGTGAGGGGAAATCCTTAAAACCTTTCATCAATTACAGATGAATTTCTACAGCTAAAAGCAACATATTAAGGAAACAAGGAAGGAAAGGATAGGGGAGTTTTATGTTGCTATTATTGTGATTCAAAAGAAAGGTCCATTTAGATGGGTTTAACAGACATATTCAGAACATTACACCCTAAAACAGCAGAGTACACATTTTTTTCCAAGTGCATATGGGAAAATCCCCAGAACAGATCAGATATTAGGCCCCCAAACAAGTCTCAAAAAGATCAAAGTCATACTACGCATCTTTTCTGACCAAACACTATGAAACTAGAAACCAACCAAAAGAAAAAAAATCTGTAAGACCACAAATACATGGAAGATTACATAACATGCTACTAAACTATAAATGAGTCAACCAAGAAGTCAAAGAAGAAATAAAAAATTACATGGAAAAAATGAAAATGAAAACACAATAGTCAAAAACCTTTTGGATGTAGCAAAAGCAGTTCTACCAGGGAAGATTATAGTAATACAGACTTATTTCAAGAAGCAAGACAAATCTTTTTTTTTTTTTTTTAAGATTTTATTTATTTATTTGACAGAGAGATAGAGAGAGAGCACAAGTAGGCAGAGTGGCAGGCAGAGGGAGAGGGAGAAGCAGGCTCTCCGTGAGCAGGGAACCAGACGTGGGGCTCGATTCCAGGACCCCAGGATCATGACCTGAGCCGAAGGCAGCCACTTAACTGACTGAGCCACCCAGGCACCCTGAAGCAAGACAAATCTTAAATACACAACCTAACCTTATACCTAAAGGACCTAGAAAAAGAAGAACAAACAAAATCCAACCCAGCAAAAGGAAGGAAATGATAAAGATTAGAGCAGAAATAAATGCTATAGGAATTAAACAACAAAACAAAACAAAACAAAACAAAAATGAGTAGAATAGATCAATGAAACCAGGAGCTGGTTCTTTGGAAAGATCAATAAAATTGATAAACCTCTAGCCAGACTCATCAACAAAAAACAAAAGAGAGAGAGAGAAAGAGGACCCAAATAAACAAAAGCACTAATGAAAGATAAGAAATAACAACCAACACTACAGAAATACAAACAATTATAATAGAATATTATACAAAACAATATGCAAAAAATTGGACAATTTAGAAGAAATTGATAAATTTCTAAAAACATATAACCTACCAAAACTAAAGCACAAAGAATAGAAAATTTGAACCAATGAATTATCAGCAATAGAATTGAATCAGTAATCAAAAACTCCCAAAAAACAAAAGTCCAGGACCAGACAACTTCACAGGCAATTCTACCAAACATTTAAAGAAAAGTTAATACCTATTCTTTTCAAACTATTCCAAAAAATAAAACAGGAAGGAATTTTTCAAATTCATTCTATAAGGCCAGTATCACCCCAATACCAAAACCAGATAAAAACACCACCAAAAAAAGAGGATTACAG